CGACAAACTTGGTCGATGAAGCGCTGAAAAGTTTGCGCGGCATTCTTTAGACCAAAAGGCATGCGCAGAAACTCGAACAAACCAAATGGAGTCGTCACGGCAGTTTTAGAGATGTCCGCTTCGGCTACCGGAATTTGGTTGTATGCGCGTACCAAGTCGATTTTGCTAAAGATATTTTTACCCGCCAAGCTGGCGGTGAGATCCACTATGTGTGGGATCGGATGGCGATCGGGCGTGGTAACCGTATTCAAGGTTTGATAGTCGCCGCAAGGACGCCAGTCCCCCATGACCTTCTTGGGGACCATGTGCAGAGGCGACGCCCATGGGCTGTTGGACGGTCTGACGATACCGAGCTGAAGCATGTTGTCGAATTCAGCTCGTGCTGCACGTAGTTTATCAGGAGCAAGCCGTCTTGGTCGTACGCTAACCGGCTGACCACGCGTGACTATGTGATGAGCGACCTTTGTCGTGACTGGCGGATGCTCCGCAGCTGATCGTACCAGTCGCGGGTATTCAGACAGTAGGTTTGCATAATCTGATGGTACATCGGCAATTCGAAAAACGGGACTGATTATCGGAACGTCCGTAAGAACACCTTCAATCCCTAGTTTAGTACGGTCGTCTAAAAGTCTGTGACGACCAGCATCGACAAGCAACCCAAAATGTCGGAGGAAGTCGATACCGATAACTGCGAAGGGTACAGACGCAACCATGAAGACCCACTGAAAATCTCGGCGAAGATTGATGTCCAGGTTCATTATGCGCTGATCGAATGAAGCTATCGGGGAACCGTTGGCCGCACGCAAATTGTACGTAGGCTCTGAGTGCTTGTCGTTAGCGGTCGCTGGGATGACGCTGACTTCCGCTCCCGTGTTGATTGAAGAACGGCGATCCTTAACGTAAAACAGGCAAGTTGCTTGGTTATTGAATGATACGTTTGTAGTGCTAGTATGCGGGCTATTCGTTTTCCCTGAAGCAGCTGGGTCGTGCCTAATGCAGGGAGCCCGACAACGTCTAGCTCTTCCACCGTATTGACGGTGATACCAACATACTTCTTCGACGGGTTTGATATTATCTGACTGAGAACTTGCAGGGAAAATGTTGCGCTTTCGTGCCGAGCGAGACGTACTCGGTGCAGGCACAGACGAGCCGCAATGAACGGTAGCCAAAACGTGGTCAGCATTTGACCGTGGCACACGCTGCTTCGAAGCCTTCATTGCTGCTATCCTGCTGCGAAGTAGCGCAATTTCCTCGTCTTTAGGGTCAGATCGGCTTAACGACTGGGAGCGAACATGAGATTCGGTTTTCATCGGTGACAATATGTCACCGGAGCTAGTGGTCGTCTGCTGCGGAAAACGTTCGAACGCAGCGTCTGCCTTAGTAGCTAGTTCTTTCAGGGGTGTATCTATAAACATGGACAGCATTACCGGCAATGGCTCTGGGAGACGTGCAAACCACAGCTCCTTTAGCCCTTCTTCGTTCAAGAATAAGGGAACAGCGATGCGCTGAAGTTCGCGGAGCAACGCCGACGGCTTGCGATCTCCAAGCTTGAGACCATTGAGCTGTTCGAATCGAGCTCGTGCGCTGGGCCGTAACTCGTTTATAATCGCTTGCTTCATCGTTTCATACTTTGCCTCATTCGATGGGCAGAGTAGAATGTCCTCAATCAGCGTCACAATCGACGAAGGAAGGCGTGGGACGAGCTGATTGTACCTTGGACGGTCCGCCGTAATGCCCTTATTTTCCAGTTGGATCTCGAATATCGTAAACCAAACTTCTGGGCTGTGTTCCATGAAACTTGGAACAGTCAAAGTAAGCAGGTTTACGCTGTGAAACGACTCAGATGCCACTGTCGAAATGTGAGTCGAAAAGATAAAGGATGAACAAAAACGCGATATAAGTACTAAAATTACGCAAGAAACAAATGAATATAGGTATATAATCGAGAAAAAGGAACGAACTCACCAAAAATACAAACGAGGAAATAGACGTTGAATTCGCGCGTGCGAATCGGGGTCACCAATTTGTAGGACTAGTTAATACTAGTCCGAGACGGTGCGCGAAGTAAGCGCGGATATCAGAATGCACTTGGAGTCGGACACAGCGGACTGTATTCGATGGGCTACAGTAAGAAACAGACGGATGAAGCGAGACGAGAGCGAACACGTGAGCGCGAGAACTTGCAAGGCGTCGAGTGACGAGCCGGTTGTAAGGAAGATTAAAACAAGCAGGAGTAATGTACAATCGGTCAACAATTAAATTGTACATGAAAGATAAGAGTTATCTTTTTGGGCGCTACAGATAGCCGCTCCAACCGCACTGCAGTGTCTGTGCCTCTAATTCTCATGGGTCACCTCACTCACATAAGTGGACAAACCTCAAACATGCCTGCTTTCACTTCTCTAACCATACACGCTTCACCTGGAGATGCAGGCATAACACAGACAACTCACAGCCGGAAGCCATCCGGTGCAGATAACAAGCAGGTAAAGTATGCATCGATTGCCTCGATAAACAATTAATATTGGTATATTGCGCGTGCAAAAGTAATGCTTAACAAGTCCCGTGGGATGGAAACTTGCGAAAATAAAACTGCATGATAAAGTGTAAAGTGTTTTGGTGGACTCACCATAGACTTACGTAGAATAGCGGAGATGTTCGCGTATTAAAACTATAAATCCATTGATTCAGAGTTTGGTTAGGCATCGTTTGATTGCATTTCGTAGCTCCCTGGTTAACAAGTTATAAATTGAAGTGCAAATGAGACAACACTTCTTCAACTCGTTTTTTAACTATCGTCAGATTGGGATCAGGGATGACATAATTAGGGAGGGCGTTCCAAAACTGACACACGCGCAGGGAAAACAAATTTCTACGAGGTTCAAGTCGGCTATACCGGATTGTCAGGTTCAGAGGATGACCCGTTACATTAGTGTTGGGATGCAATTCCAGCAGCGGACGGCAAATGTGGTTTGAGTTCTTCAGAATTCGTTACGCTACTAGGAGATCTCCCGCAAACATCAATATCGACTGCTGTACATTCTTAGGGATTCAGTCTAAGCTGATAGGGCAGATGAAAGAGGCCCCTGACGCACTTGGTTGTCTTTCGTTGACTAGTCTCGAGATTAAGGAGATACTGTTTCTATCACGGCTGCCACGCCTGGATAGTATATTCCACGTGCGGTCGCACGTAGGCGTTAAGCATTTGGAGGAAGATTGAGGGTTCAAACCGACCGAAGGCTCTGCAAAGAAGGCCGAAGTTTTGATTGGCGGTTCTTGACGCCTTCTCTGCGTGGTTTGAGCATCCGAGATCTTCCGGTACCAGTACACCCAGGTCATACTCCTGAGAGGTCTTCTGCAAGGTGTGGTCTCCAAGCTTGTACGCGCCCACCGGCTAGTGACGCAGATGAAGCGCCTTGCACTCAGCCATGTTCAACTGAAGCAGGTTCCTCGTTGACCATTCATAAATGCAATCTAGGTCATGTTGGAGTAGATCGTGATCTTCATTGTTACTAGTCGCACGATATATATTGATGTCCTCGGCGAAAAGAAGGAAAAGGGAAGAGATCATTCTTGCCGGGTCGTTGATGAACACCAGGAATAAGCGCGGTCCCAGCACCGAACCCTGTTTGACATCACATTCCATCTCAGTCGGGTTAGAGAGTGCTCCCCTAATGTGCACTTGTAACTTCCGTTGATGAAGAAATTTGCCAATCCAACCAAGCACAGGACCTCCGATTCCGTGGCTCTATAGGCGGTGAATTAGGATGCGGTGATCCAGGAGGTCGAAGGCGTTGCAGAAGTCCAGATAGATGACGTCAACTCCGACTCCCTCATCAGCCACTTCCGTCCAACTACCATTTACCATTAGCAGGTTGATGGAAGCGATGCTGCTCCGGTGTCCAGCTGTTGCATTTTCCAGTTCGTCCATTAGAGCCTCAGCGAAGAGCACTTCCATCCTTCTTCTGTTCATAACCGAATTAAGTCGTTTAGGTATTCGACTGGTAAAGGTAACGCCACTTTTCTATTCGTTACGAAATCGCATAAGTATTCCACCGTCTCTCTTAATGGGACGTTAGTAAAAAGTGATTGAACACCCAGTGAACACATTACTTTGTCTGCTATGTTCATACATTGCAGATGTTCGAAGGTGTTTTTGAGAATGTCTCACGATCATTTGTCTGACTTGTGCTAGTATCCTGACTAACCACCTGGCCAGTTTGTGATACGGAGAATTATTCATGGACAATAGTATTTATAATGTCTAGCATCCAATAGCACGTGGTGCCCACTGCATTTCATGAAAGCTGTCTTCCTTAATCGGACCACTCAGTCGCAGAGAACCTGAGCTTCAAAGTAAAGTGTGGCCTCATTTGAGACATAAGTTGGATATTCAAAAACAAAGCAATGAAATCGTAACCGTAGAATCAGGTGTTGATTCAGCCGTCAACTTTCATGTGCCGAATTCCACTTTCAGCTCAGGGTCAATGTCAGAACGAAATCGCCCGTGGAGTGTAGTGTTGGGAGAGAACAACTCCGGAATTCTCCTGCCTAATTTTAGTACTTAACGATAAATTCGTTAGAGTTAGTCTATGAATCGTTAGGCTTCGCTTCATATAAGACTCAGAAGATTTACTAGTGTGAAAGAAGCCGACTTGGAGTATCCCTTACTTACATACTGCGTAAACTATTGGCAATGAAGCAGTGCCACGTAGACTTCTGCTTCCAGGAGCGGATCCTTTATTCGTTGTTGATGAATACGTCATCAGGACTGCGTTCGAGCCATGCGTAATGTCACTGCCTCAGTGCTTGTCCACGTGCCTGAGGGAATTTGGTGCTGGAGGACATAGAGCGGATCGCAACAGATTTCCCAAATTGTGTTGTTACTCACGAAAAGCGAACTCTTAAGTAAAAATGGTTATTAGGTACTTTCAACACCAAGATCCTGTTGTATCTATGCTGTGCCAAATGGGTTTCCCCAGACAACTTCGACCTCAATGATGCAGCCGATTGTTGCTGACCTCATATCACGCCCACCAAAACGGATAATTGCAGGCACATCCAGGTTCAAGTAAGCTGTCAGCACTCGCAAGCGTACGCTGAAAATTGGTTGTACTCACGTTCGGTCTTTTATGGGAGATTGGGGGGCAACCGTGCGGGCATGGATTCACTAGCTGCTTTACGGAATGTCTTGAGTGCCAAGCCGGTTAATTTGCTTGTGTCGATAATGTATATGAGCAAAGCACGGATTTGAAAGACGGGTGGTAGGAGCCTACCTGGACTGCTGCTTAATGGCGTGATGAATAGCATTATAGGATTAAGATTCCGTGGACACAAAAAGAAGAAAAGCAGCTACAAGCAAAAATTTAGTAAAAATGGAAGGGCAGTAGTATGTTAGAAAAAAACAAGTCGGACAATATGAGGATATAAAGAGGAGACGAAAAGGCATGCATTTCGACAGACTCCGATGAATGAAGCGGCATCGGTCGTCCGCTTTTTTATAGACGAAGTGGGAGGTCGCTTGTTTTATTCGGTGTAGAAAGCACGAAAGCGGGTTACCGGAATACAAGAAATAGAAATGGCAGGGACTATACTAGCAATGTCAATAGCTAAGCAGGGATAGCGCCCAAAAACAGTATGAAACGAGAACGACGAAAGGATATGCGTGAGGATTAGTACTGATGAATGAATCAATCACATACGTGAGTGTTAGCATGAAAATTACGGCGGAAATTAATAGTGATGATGAACTTTGTCGAAGTGGAAAG